CTCTTGCTTTGTTACTCTAAGTTCAAATTCTTTATCTGGGGGATTCTCAGTGCTTTCCCCTTTCTCAATGGAAAGTTTCTGAATAGCAAAGACTCTTCTCTTACTCTTCTCTCTTATCCACGGACCCAGCATGGGGCCTGGTGCACATAGATGCCCAATAAATGTGTTAGTTAATAAAATGAGATGAATTTTAAATGTTTCTTGCAGAAATAGAAAGAGAAAACCTCCCTGTGGTTATTGGATAACTCAGGTCTAACTGAGGTCTAACTGCTTTTATTTAATCTCTGAAAATCTAGCTACAAGGTAGTTGGGAAGGATCTTTTGGTCTCTGACAATAAAAAGAGTGATGGTAGAAAGAAAAAAAGAGAACTGTAGGTCATAATGAAATTATACCCAGTGTATATCAGATTCCCTCTTTCTGGTTAATTTCAGGGGCAACCCCATAAACTAAGATACCACTTTCCTCCGTAGGAGGGGACTTCCTTTTATTATGTAGTGACTTAAAATTATTGATTTAAAGTCCCTTGGGAATTTTATTTTCCAAATAAGGCCACACTCACCAGAATACACTGTTTTTCTCTGCATGTCACTGAGGTTTCGGAGATAATCAACATGCAGTGGGCCTCAGGGAACGCAGCTAATACCTGTGCTTTCTTAGAGCTTCAAGTGGTTGCAAGAAAAATTTCTCCTTAACAAAGGACATCTTGCCTCTTGTGCTACATCTGTTCCAGTTTTTTTTCCACAGCCCTGAGCTCTGAAGGCTCAATTTAGAATCCAAAAAATTGAGCCCTGTTCTCTCCCTTTAGTACCTCATTACTAACAATAAAGAGTTGAAGACGTGGGGTGTTGGCTGGCAATTTTGCTATGACATATGGCAAAGCAGAATGCAAACTTACCTTTTGTCATCCACAGAAACTTCAGGTTATTGACAGGACTAGGTGTTTTTCAAATGAAACACAGAAGTGGGGTAGTCATAACCTATACTCAGTTTACCAAAAATACTAATCCTTTAGACATTCAATGGCTCTGTGGATAACCCACAGGTAGATAGCAGTGCTATTAACAGCAAGTGGTGCTTTCCCGTTAAAGAACATATACCCATCTTCCAATGTGATTGGCAACTTGTCTCCTCAGTGCATTAACAGTAAATTCAGTAAGCAGCAAGAAAAAATTTCTTACAAGTTCTGGCCAGGGTATTTTTGTATTTTATATTTCCCTAGGAAGGTTCCTGTGCTTTTTCTCAAGGCAAATCCAATCCTGTTACTAGCTTTCTATTCTCCTGTCTGTGCTTCAGGGTGGGGAAGGAGGACCCCAGAGCTTTCATCCCTATGGACCCGGAGTCAGAAACTGATGGTCGAGGCCTAGGCTACATCCAGACAGCAGACGGTTGATTGGTTTATGCAATATTTTAAAATGATTTGAGCTTGTTGCCAAAAAATTAAAAACCAGGAGATTTTCTTGAAAAAAGAGATCCGAATCTTGGCCTCTCTCAAAAGAAGTGAAGTGATGCCAATGGGGGTTGGGTAAGGGCTGTCAGTTTACCACAATCCAGGGTGGCAGCTAGAAGGTACCATCCCTTTTTGGGAATTAGAAAAAAGGCCCTGCCTCTGGGCAGATGAATTGTAAGGGTGTCCCATCATGCCCACATGTAGCAACGTTGCCTCAAGCTGCCGCCACCTTGAACCATTTTACTCATGTGTGAGCCCTGTGGGCCTGTGAGTTCGTGACCACGGCCAAAGCCTTTGGGAGACGTAGCTGCCTGCAGCATACATCTTGATGAGTGAGGGTTGGCCTAGAGGGTTTTTTTTTTTTTTTTTTTTGATGGCTTGCCCACAGAGATGAGACGTCGGCATTTGTTTGACCTGGTTCCTGTTTTCCTTGAGAAGATGATTTCGTAGGAATTATACTCAGAGGCTAGGTCTCTGTGTCCTCAAGATTCACCTGATTTCCTAACCCCCCCCCACACCCCCACGCCCCTCAGGCTGATCTGATGTTTGCCCGTTTTCTCAGTCTATGGGAGGATGTGTCCAGGCAGGAAATAGCAATTTCTCTAGTATGACACAGGGATATGACTGCTTTTACTTGAAGAGTTTGAGGCAGACCTGTTGTGCCATCTTGGAGCTATCTGATTCCGGTACCTTGTTGACAGCTTGCCCTTATTAAACCATGCCCAAAGTGAGCCCCGCAGCTACTGACAAGGGGTGATGCCAAGGAGCTTAGGAGCGCCTGGGTGGCCTCAGCAGACCTGAATAATAGTCTGTCTGTGGCTCCCCAGGAGCTGTGAGCTGTTTGTTTCTTAGCATTGGTATGACAAGCACCAAAATCATTTATAAAGTGCAGCTGTATCTGATGCCATATAAGGGATGATAAACGAAGTGATACAATACTATCTGAGAGCTTATAAAGTGATTCATAATTAGGCACAGTTGGATGATACCATTAGGAGTCTGTCTTGGCAGTAGCATGGATCTCAGACTGGGCTTGAGCACTGACTCCGACATTCAATAGTTACGTAAACTTGCACAAGTCTTTTAACTCGGTGAACTTCAAAGGAAAAATAATGGTAACTTGAGTGAGAACTTAGAGCCATTAAGAACTCTGGAGATCCCCCTCTCCCTCCGTTTTACTAGTTGTAGTGAATTAACTTCAAAAGTCTCAGGTGAAAGGGGTGCCTGGGTGGCTCAGCAGGCGGGAAGCCTGCTTCTCCCTCTCCCACTCCCCCTGCTTGTGTTCCCTCTCTCGCTGTGTCTCTCTCTGTCAAATAAATAAAATCTTAAAAAAAAAAAGTCTCATGTGCAAAACCAGTACTTTCCTAATAGGACTTGTATGATTAAATGAGAGAATACTGGGGCGCCTGGGTGGATCAGTAGGTTAAGCGTCTGCCTTCTGCTCAGGTCATGATCCTGGGGTCCTGGGGTCCAGCCCCTAGTGGGGCTCCCTGCTCAGCAGGGGGTCTGCTTCTCCCTCTGCCTCTCACCCCTGCTCATACTCTTATCGCTGTCTCTCTCAAATAAATAAATAAAATCTTTAAAAAAAATTAAATGAGAGAATACTTGTGCTCAGCATGTGGTAGGTACGCGGTACCATTCCCCCAGAGCGCACAGCCTGGCGTTAAGTGAGCCATCAGAAACGCTGGTTCCCTCTCACTCGTGCATGTATGTGCCTTACTGCTTTGGACACTAAGAGTTTTAGCAAATGGTTGCACTGCCCCACACATATTTAATGAACTGATCTTATACTGATCTTACGGTGGAAAGTCTTCACGTGTACGAATATCAAGTCATTTTGCTAAAGGTGTGGCTTCTTAATTGTGGCAGTTTGTGTAAAAAGTTAGAAATTATAGAGTTTCAGATACCGCAGGGGAATGCATTGGTTAAAACAAAAATGAGAAGGCTGGATCTTAAGGATGTAATAATGTAATAATGTGAGTTACTGCCTGTTCCCTTTAGGAATGAGTTGCTGGCTGCAGAAGTCTTTATCTCGACACCCAGATCGAGCAGAATACAAAGGTCGCAATGCCAATTTCATCTGAAACTTGTTTTGCAGTGTCAGAGTCTTGGTTTTTAGGAAAAGACTTGCGGTTGCTATGGAACTGTTAATAATGATTGCTGCCTGTTCCTCAATCCCTCAGACTCCCAATCTCCGATATAAAATCATTTAGACCTGGGCTGTAGGGCAGTAAACAAACTGGGCTTGGGCATTTGTGTCTTAATGTCGGAAATGCCTTTCATTATAACCTTTACTTACACCAGCAGCTTGGCTACGTGGAAAGAGCCTCTAGTCTGTTGACGGTGGACTGAAACGCATGAGCAGTGCTAAAAACTGGTACATTTTGGGCTTTCATCATACGATAAATGTGAAAAATCTTTATTTTGTGCTGACGTGGCCTTAGCGTGGAGCTTTTATTTTCATGCATAAAAAGAAATTCAGCCATATACTAGATTCCTAAGTGGAAAGAGGAAATTATTCCTGTTGAAATATATATGTCTGTATATTTTACAAATAAAATCTTGCAGTAAAGTGACATCTTTGCTGTATTTCTGTGAGATTTGTGATCCATGTAATAGATGTATCTTGCTCCTGAATTATATTTCTGAGATATGGATCTCAGTGCTTATTAATGTATAACCAATCTTTGGGGGAAAACTAATCCAGTTCTTGAGTTCCAGGCACATAAAGTTAGGAACAGGTTATCAGGTGGGTAGAAAGAAGACATATCTAATTTGGGGACTTTTCAGCCTTTTCAGTATGCAAATAATTCAACAATAATACAGAATAAATAGCTTCCATTTCCACAACTGCTGCTCTCTCTAATCCCTACAGGATGTGTTTTCCAACAATTATCTGGCCTAATTCGCTGTTTTATTGCTTAGAATTTTAATGCCTCAAATGTGGAACACAGAATAAATGTTTGTCAGTAAAATCTAAAAAGATTTAAGTGTGAATTTTCACCAGCATGCAAATAGTTTGTAGGAACAAATGGCATAAGCATTTTTGGAAAGGAAGTGTAAAAATTCCATTAGCTCTGGATCCCCCAACTCTTTGGCTGCAAGAAGTGACAGCAACTTCATAAAGGTTAAATAGGCAAGCTTAGGGCCCAGAGTGAAATTAAGTCTTCTACCAAGTATATGGTGCCGCCGAAGACAAAGGTTTCTCTGTGTGAATAAACTGAACATACAGTTCAATACATTCATGTTTGCAGGGCTATTTAAGGTATTATAAGGTCTGGTATAAAACAATAAAAATGCAGATGGAACTATCAAATTTATCAAGCTGCTGCAATATATTCAGATGCTCTCCAGAGCTGGCAAGGTGATGTCAAGAAAGTTAAACTTGAAGAATGAGCCTTGGATTTCTAAATGAGATTACGGGAAAAAGAAAGCAGAGTTAATAGGGGAAATCAAGACTGAAACAATCAACGTTACAGCTCCGTTTGGGGGAAGAGTTTAAAAATAAATTCTTTTTGCTTGTTCTAAAATTGTTCTGCCAAAAAACCGACATTGTTATATACTTTTTATTTTTTGGTTTATTTAGTCTTCTTTAACACAGCCATTGTTAGTGCAACAATCTAATATTTGGGGTACATTATTGCAAAATAAGGACATAGCTGTATAGATTATGCCGTCAATACGTTTGTTAATCCTATTTTTCCTTCTATAACACAAAGCATCGTTTGTTAATACGGTCTTGGATTACTTATATTTGTAAAGGTTACTTACGGTGAGTGGTAAATACAAAAGGTAGGGAGTTTGCTCCCTAGTACAACTGTCTCTAAACTAAAATTTAATAGTTTTCTCAAAACATTAGCATTCTGTAATTAAAAATAGGTAAAGCAATATTTTAGTATGTTAGGCAGTAGTAAAAATTATCCTGTCTGAATAAATGTGTTCATATACACTAGCATGCTTTCAGAAGAGTCATGCTAATATTCTGTGAAATTAATATATAAATAAACTATGACCTGGGGTGAAATTAGCAATATGTACAAAAAGGAAAAACAGAATCCTTCCCTTCTCAAACCTGTTGATTTTAACATCTTTCTAGACCTACATCACATCATCTGAAGTGTAAAGATTATTTCAAATTTGGAAAATGAGATAATAGTAGGATCCAACTTCCTACAAAAGACAGTACATATGAATTTTGAAGATTTATGTTCATTCCAATGTTAAAGAGACAACATCCTTTTAAACCTCCTTGGAGAAATATTTGTAATGTCTTTTATTTATTAAGAAGAATCCAGCCTTAACACAGTAAACTATGTTTTTTATATTATTTGAAATATTAGAAAGTAAAAATATTGTGAAGATAGGACATATTATTCCAGGATATATGAAACTCTTTAGAATTGTTATTTAAGGAATGGAATACTTGAGTTGATACTGTAAATATTTTATTTCTAAGCACATAGTTTTTCCTCTCTCTTCATTCTCTTTGGCATTCTTCCTTTCCTGTTTCTCTTATTTTCTAACTTCTCCTTAGTTTTCTTTCTCTGATAGTCCTGGCTTTTCTCCATCTTACTTTATTAGCTGACTATTATAGTCTCTCGATTTTTTTCCTTCATTTTCAATAAGACACTGGTTTCTACTAAGTGAATAACAAACTGGACCTTCTCTTTCACCTTTTATTAAAAGTGGGTTTTTTCCCCTGAAAATATAAAGTAGCTATGTCTTTAGCTTAAATACATATGTAAATTATATATCACAAACTTGAAATACAATAATTAGCTTCACAGAGTTCTGTGGAAATTCAATATAGTACTGGTACACTATTCAGCAAGCTTATGGAATGACAAAAAATGAATCACATTTCATGACTAAGATCTTAAGTAGCCTCTGGTTTTTCTAACAAAGCCAAACTGATCAGCGTTTTGCAGCTGTTCCATTTCTTCTTCCGTGCAGTCTTGGAGAAATTCTACAAAAATAGAACCTAAGAGCAAGTTAGAAGTAGAGTTCCTGACAGGTCGCCGTCAGAGTAAATCTTGGTCATGAGCGTGCTGCTGCTATGTCGTCAATGGTGGCTGTTTGGACAAGGATGCAGCAGTGACTGGGCAGTGCTGGAGGTGTGTAGGGGGCTGTCCTGCACCCTGGTTACCCATTTAAACAAAGGCACAGGCTGGGCCCAGCGTGCTGTGCATTTAGGCGGTCTGGTCCACCTGGAGCACTGCAGGCTGCACTGCGTCCTCATCGGACCGCTCTGCATCCTCAGACGTTAGCAGGTAGCCCTCCTCATAGCGAACCTTCTGGGCCTGTTCCACGGCCACCGACTCCGCTTCTTCATCTTCCTTAATTGTCAAGTCGATGTTGCTAGCCAAGGCCGAGCTGCTCCCCCTGGAGGTTGCCCTCCCTGCATCCCCCTCCTTGCTCTTCCCTTCCACCGCAGCACTGGGCTGGGACATTTCAGAGAGACCCTCCGCGACTGAGCTCTCTTCAGGCTCATCTGGTATCTGCTCACTGCTAGGCAGGTCTTCTGACTTGGTCTCATTTTCTGTAGGGCTGTCTCCCTCTTGGACTTTCTTTCGACCGAAGGTGAGGGGAGAAACCTTGAAGGGGGAGCTTTTCCCAGAGGATATCTTCTGGTGATTGGAAGTGAGGGATTTCTTAATCTTCTCTCGCCTCTCTGCAGATACGATCTTTGTCCCCAGCTTGTTCATTTTTTTCTCGATGTTCTGGCGAGAAAATGCTTTCTTGAGGCTATCCACTTTCCGGAGGCTAGATCTTTTTATTTTCTCTGCCCTACTTTCTTCCATCTTTTCCTCTGCACTGTCTTCCAGGGCCTCCTCATCGTGGGGCAATTCATCATCTGATGAGAGGTCCACCGTGTGCAGGGTTTCCTCCAGGGACTTGTTTTCATCAGCAAGCTCCTCCTTCTCTTCCGCTGGGCTGGAAGCTGGCTCTTTCACAAACACACTGGCAGGGATCTCATTTTCTTCCTGAAAAGATGGACAATGTAGATTTCATGTTAATAACAGTTCACAAATGTTCTGAAATGTTGTAATTTGCTGTGTTGGTCTTTCTGGCACAGGGTAGAAAGACAGATCAAAATGAAACCTTTGTGGCTTCAGTTTTCTAGAATGTGAGGAGTTAATTCTAAACTGGTCAAGTCATTCCCCTAGGTTGGATAAGGGGCAAGGACTGCTTACTGGGAATCCTACGAAGGCAGGTGGCAAGGGTTCTATCAGTGACAGGCAGCAAGGGAAGTGGGCTGTGGTTCTGATAGACCAGGAAGTCGCCTAGATAAAGGAGCTAAAGTAAGTTACTGTGAACCCCAGAGGCCTCTCTCTCCTATCCTCCTTCAAGGTCAGATGGCTCTGTCCCTGCCAAAATCTCACTGCAAAAGAGCCTGGAGGCCAAATTAGAAGATAAAAGATGGGGGCAAGGGAGAGGATTGGGAAGTCCTCAGGTATCGGACACCATGTAAAGCCTTGATCGGGTTCCCTCCCCGGCTGAGTCAGAGGTAAAAGTATGGTCAACCTTGGGGTCTGCTTGAAACTGCACACTATTTTTTCTGATGACATAACTTTAGAGTAAGAGAAGCAAGGGCCAGCCTTACTGGGGGCCCACCCCTGGAGCCTTGTGGTTTAGGATATCCTTTGTGGGCATTAATAAGCAGAGGTGGCATGCCATGGCCATTTTCAGAGTTGTGAGCAGGAATTCTGAAGTAGCTTATCAAGGCTCTATTGTTATCCAGGGCTTCCTTGGGCAAGAATACTTTGGCCCCCCCCTAGAGCTAAGAGTGAGGAGAGAGCTCAGGAATCTGCCTCCTTCCCTGCACTATTCCCAGCATACCTCTTCCTCCAGCTTCTAGCACACAGGCAAAGGTCTGCCCCTCCGTGTCTTGGGGAGCAGAGCCCGAGAGTGTGCCTCCAGAGTGCAAGGGCAATGGTGCCCCAACACTGCTAAGTGGGTAGATAGGAATTCAGACGGACTTGGTCACCCAACATAGGAATTCCTTTCATTTTTTAAAAATTTTTCTTTGAATACTGGATTAACGAGAGCCAGCCAGCAAGGGGTCTTCACATTTTCATGGGAAGAAATGGCACAGTAGAAAGAACGTGTGACAGGAGCCTAAGTCTCAGTCTCTGCTGGATTGCTGAATGGCTGGGTGGCTTTCAGCAAATAATCTCCTTGGATCTCAGTTTTTTCTAAATATGAAGAGGATTTGACCCCAATGAGCAGCCTTCAAACTGCACTCCAGGGACACTTGGGGCTCTGTAGGCATGCTGAGGTGGGCCAGGCTTCAGAGCCCAGGCCCACCCTGGCCTCAACCAGAGCTTTGATGTCTGGATTATAACGTGGCCTGCCAAGTAGACTCTCAGTTTGAAAAATAACCAGATTTTGTACATTCAAAAGTCAATCTGGGATCTAAACTTCCTGTAAAGTTTGTGTTAACAGTAAGAATTTCCCTTCTTGTTTTGCAATTTTCACCGAAAAGTCAGTAACATTGAGGTTATGATCAAACACATGCTCTAGGAGTGTACCTGCCTGCATACTTTTTAACTTTTTGCTTACAAAAGCTAAATGAACAAAGTTTGATTTAGAGAAACTGAAAAGTCCCTCCCCTTATTAACCACTGAATAGTATAACTGTGATACTCTGAAGAGATACAGCCCCGTGTCTTCCCCTCACACACACCTACTGGTACCATGGTCCTTTCTGTAAATTGGTTACAAACAAAGGATAAAGTCTTGGGTAGAGGTAAATAGCAGAAAATCTGGTTAAATAGAATCTCCATCAGAGTAAAGAAATCACAGATTCTGTTTCCCAAAGCTCTCTCCACAACCACCCATTTTGAATGTAATAGAAAGTGTCAGGAACACAGTATAAAAGACAAAGAAAAAAAAATTGAAAGGAGCATGGGGTTCCCATGAGTCGTTGATGACATAGACTTTTCCAGAGAGTGACTTCCCCATGTTTCAAGTCTTATCTTGCTGCTATTTCGCTGGCATGTACTCCCCATGAGGGTGGCAATTTTTGTCTCTTGTTCCCTGTTAGGCCCCAGTGACTAGAATACTTCCTGGCAGCTCAATAGCTGAATGAGCACCTGTTGGCTAAGGTGGCTTTCTAAGAAAGGCCTGTGGGTGACTGCAATAGAAATTAGCCCTACCCTTTGGTAGGCTTGAGAACTACAAAAGAATGGGCTTAGCTCTGTGTCTTAGAAGGAAGTTTGTTGAGTGTAGCTCCATTGGGAAATGAGGAGAACCTTGGCCTAAGGGGCACAGTGGTTTCCATTTTTAAGGAAGGGTGTCATTCTCAGTGGATGAGCATCACCAGAAGGGAGGCCCACTATAGAGATAGCTAAGGCCCCAGTGCTTAGTCTAGAAGCAAAATTACTTCTGGGGTTTGATGAGAGGGCTGGGAGATTTTGACAGGAGCTGTTTGCAGGAAAAGCAGAAACCAAGAACTCAGTGAAAGGTTACTACAAGTCCTCAGTGAAGGAAGCAGAAATTTGGGTGGGAAACTACAAAAATAAGCCTTGGTTCCCAGAGCAGAGATACATTTTGTATGGTCTAAGCTCTCCAGGGGTAATCAGAGGGTTACCCTGATAACTTCCCTTTCTTCAACCTTAACAGAGAGGGAAACACAGTAACTGTACTTAGAATTAAACAATGCTGCCTTTTTTCTTAAATGTGCATTTTGTTATTAAGACAGCATAGTTCCTGTTGAGTAGGAAACTCTGGTCTTGCTCGTGACATGTCCTTTGGGGACAGGTTTGAGGAAAGTGCAAGGTCAGGTGAGTCAGCAGCGATGTCTGGTAGATACACACGGCACGTAGAAGCACAGCTGAGAGATGGAGGGAGACCTGTTGAACTCCTTCCTCCAACAAACGCCTGGGACCTTGATTCAAGAGCGCTTACGCCAACTCTGAAAATAAACCCAGCGACAACAGACATAATCCAGAATGAGTTAGCTGTGTCTTCATAAAACTGGAAACAAGTGAGATAGGTCTTTTTGCCTAACTGCTTTATGCTTCTGTTGTCACTGTTATTACTTGAGCCGTATTCTGTATTCTGTCTGCCAGACAGCGTTTATTCTACGGTGGCCCATGGCATCCAGTCCGAGGGCAAGCCCCTTCCATTCCCATAGGGGTCTGCCGATATCTGAGCACACGCAGCTCTTACCTTTCCGTTCTGTGTCTGTAGAAGCAGGAAATACAGACACTTCTTCAAAATCTCTCTTGCTTGCCCTGTGCTGGACTATGAAGTAGCTGTTACGATGGAGGAAATTCAGCTGGCATTTCAGACAGCAGACCTTCTAGAACTGCGCTGTCCCCGGGGGCCCAGTCTCCCCTGCACGTGGGCCATTGCTCAGTCCTTTCACGGGTCCTCATGGAAACATTTGATGATAGCTCACCCGTCTACAGGTGAAGGGACACTTCCCCTTCAGCCTCCCGTCCTCATGGTTTTGATTTGCCTTCACTCACAGAGTCCAATACCGACGGCTCCTTCCAGGGGGAGGGCTAAGCTTACGCCTCAGTTCCATCACTGCTTGACTCTGTTAGTTACTCATGTATCTACTTCGGGTTTGTGACTCCTTAACGTGGCATGAAGAATCCTTGGTGGGCTGCAATCCTTTCTTGGGCCCTTCTATCTAGTAGTCCCCCAAGAGTGGCTGACTGTTTGCCCGACAGATTTCTTTTCAAAAAGGTACTCAGCCACCACCGATGCCGCTGCTCCAAGTTCTGACCTTTCACGAGAACCCATAGGAGTTTTTCAAAGGAAGGGAGAGTTAAACAGCCCACTTCAAACACATATGAATGATGTGCCTGCAGCACGAAAGAGAAAAGGAATGGAAAGAACTCTTGAGAAGTGGCATTTTTCCTTATGCTTTAGCTTGTTGGCTATTTATATTGATTCTCACGAACTAACTGTCCTGGTTGTACATGCAGATATCAACACAGAGAAACTTGCCAACTTGCCAAGCACCTCTTGGGTTGGAGCTCATGGAAGCAAATCTTTGCTCATAAGAAGCATACACTTTAAAAGAGAAGGAGATTCTATGACCAGCGTTAGAAAAGGAAGCTTAGAGACAAAGCTTGAATGAGGGGAGAGAAGCCAGCAATCTGTTCTTTTGTCCCTAACTTAGGATCCCTGTCGTTAGAAGAAATTAACTTCGGTTGTCACAGTCCCACAGGGATGTGGTGGCATCCTGAAGGGATATGAGGATCATAAATTTGTGTCCATGGGATGTTTTATCCAATAATCTCTAAATACTAGTTATTAAAATGGAACTATGCCCACCTGACATTCTGATTTATAGGTCTCTTTTACACATTGATGGTTTTCTCCAATTTGTGTTTCTGTGGTATAGATCGCCAAGTGGATAAAGCCATTGATTAGAACTGCACCCCTAAGCCAGCTGTCGGTAGACTCAGCAAGTCATAAGAATAAAATGCATTAGTTATAATCCCTGAGCAGTCTTTCACATTGTGGAGGATTTAAAAGTTTCATTATTTTTCAGTGTTATCAAGGGTTCAATTCTTTCTTAAGATCACACTGGTTAGGTATTCTTTGTTACCCACCAAACAAAACAAAACAAAACAGAAAACCAAAAAAACAAAAAACCAAAAAAAAAACCACCACAAAACGGAAAACAAATCATTCTGAATTATTTAAAAGCTGGTGAAGAAAACCCAGTAAACATGAACTTTGCCATAGTGGGAATACAGCGTTTGTTTTTACTCATTTTACCATTCGACTCTATAATTTTTTTATTGATAAAAGGAAACCTTGCTAGTCACTTTCTCAGGGCCTCTGTTTCTTTGATATAAAATGAGGTTAAACTAAATGATTATTACGGTTCTTTCCAGCTCCGAGACGTTTGATTTTCTGGTATTAATGTAAATCCCATGAAAAATAATTAACAAATTTCAGAAGAGATCTCCCAGTGTACTAACGCCAAGCAGGTTTCATTTCATGCAAGAATCCAAACTATAGGACCTGAGATGCCCTGGAGAATGTCTTTCATTCATTCAATTCTAACAGATCCAGATTGCAAAACAATGGAGGGGGCCACATTTATGTGGAAGGACTGCATCTGAGAAACAGTCTAGTTTTTTAATAAATGAGAGAAAGTGATGATTCTTTTGAAGAAACAATAATCACTTATTCACTTAACATGTCTGAGGCAGTGCTCACATTCAATAAGTGCAAATAATAATAAGGAGAGTTAGTATTTTGTTTATCTCAGAAACTCAAAGGGCATGGGATAAGTCACACATCAAAACCAATTGCCCATTGTGGGAACGTTAATCAATGTGACATAAACATGGTGAGTTGTCACATAAACGTGCCTTTGATTTTCTGTATTCTCATTTCTTCTACAGCTGTAAAAATTTAGCAGTTTTCAGAACAGTGTCTTTGGATAAAGTACCGTCTTTAAGAAAAAATCAACTTGAAAATAGTCTGAAGAGGTTACACTTTTAGCACTTTTCTCAAATTCTTATCTCATCAAAGGGAGCCAAATGATGAAGATTTGAACACACTGATAGGCCTGATTCTCCACGAATATGTCCACAGCAAACACCCAACCTCTACTCTTTTCACCCAATTTCACAATTTTATGTGGATGAAAGTGTAAGCTGTCCATGAGTACTCTCATTTTGTTCCCTAGATTGGAAATCATTCCCAAACTGCTTTTTCAGATAATCATCGCTAGAACCTTAAGGCATGAGTGGGTGCCACCCCCTCACGGCCAGTTGCCTATGAGGTTCTAGGCTCTTCAATCAACAGAGAAAACTCCCTTTTAACAGTAAATTCACTGATTTTCTGTATAAATTCCATTTTTAGGTAAAGATAGCCATACTTACAGGCAAAGCATTAGTCTTATTAGTCTTTAGCATTTGCTTTTAGATCACCAATCCCTCTGAGTCTTATTTCATTTATACTGGGTCTTGTCACAGTATTTTGAATTCAAGCATTGATTTTAAGCTATTATAAAATAATGTAAAAAGAAAAGCTGCTAAGTTTAACAAGGATTTTACAATTTTTTCATTGCTCAAAGGGAGATGAATATTCTCCAGTTTTAGAGACTACTGGCTATAATCTGAAGTAATTGCCAAAGGCATGAGAGGCTTTAAAGCCACAACAATGTGGTAAATTCAGCATGCATTTAAATAAATTAATAAATATTTTTATTTATTTATTTATTTATTTTTAAGATTTTATTTGAGAGAGAGAGAGAGAGAGAGAGCGAGCATGAGCGGTGGGGAGGGGCAGTGGGAGAGGGAGAAGAAGACTCCCCGCTGAGCAGGGAGCCCGCTCCATCCCAGGACCCCAAATTCATGACCTGAGCCGAAGGCAGATGCTCAACCAACTGAGCCACTCAGCAGCTAATAAATAATGTATTTTAAATAGGACAAATTAAGGACAAAGTTTGGAATTTTAAAAAATGCTAATGTGTAAGTACCTAGTAGACCAACCAACTGAGCGACCAACCAAAGAGCACCTGCAGATTTTGGAGGACACAACAGGACTTTACAAACTGGAAACCTAATCCTCTGAACACTACTGTAGTAAATATGCTCAAGTAAGGTGACAGATTTTCTTTACTCTCTTTTTGAAATTTTCACATCAATTTTTTTTGTTTTAAATTAGAAAACTAATGAATTTAGTAAAGGAAAGTCTAGCATAGGGTTCGAGTGGACTGAAAATGACAAATTACTTATAATGCGGTACCTGGTGTATTATCTGTCTCCTTACTCTCTTACCCACCCTCTGCCACTCTGCAGACTGCTGCCACTAGAAAAGTCTATTTTGGGCCGGCCCTTTGGGCAGAATCCTTTGCTCCAATGGTATGTTGGGGACATAATACAGATTTCAACATGATAGGTGTCATACAATGTCCCAACTGAAGCATAAGCAAAATAAGTCCCAACTAAAAAGCATAAGCATAGCTGTTTTAAGGTCTTGGGTAGGGTGGGGTCATTTTTTACTCAAGAGCCATATTTCTAGCCAAGCAAAAGTATAGCCTCCACTCTGTGCAAATGCATTTCAGATCCACCCAGGAAGAGTTTCTACTCCTTGAGACACCATGCCAGTCACCAACCATTTTAAATAGATTATTCCATTCACTCCTCACCCTGTAAGAGAGGCAGGAAGGAGGAAGCCTTCATGTTTAAGGGCACACACTGGAATCAATTACATGTGAGTTCCCATCCCGGCCACACTGCTCGCTTACCAAATAACGTCAAACAAGATAACAACATCTTTGAATCTCAGCATCCTCATCTGTAAATTGGGGGCAAATGAGATAATACACAGAAAGACACTTAGAGCACGCAGGGCTTACTAAAAGAGCTCAACAATGTTTTGTTCCTATTAATATCCTCAGGGTTCAGATGAGAAAACAGAAGCTTGGAGAAGCTACAAAGTGTGAACAAGATCACATAGTTGGCAAGCAGTGAAACTAGAATATGAACCAGTGTCTGTCTATGTGACAAAATAGAGCTTCTCAACCCTGAAACTGGAGCACTCTCCAGCACAAGTCAGAAGTTCACCCATTGGCGTAATCACTACCCTGGAGACCCTACTTTAAGAGAAAGAACAACCCTTCCACGAAGAGACTGCACCTGTATGTGTTTTTGTCAAAATAATCATCTTACAATGTCTTGAGAGTTGAGATTTCTAATATCTTTCAGGCTACTAAAGCGTCTTCCGGGGCTTAAGAAAGTCCAGTTCCTTGACTTTAGTTCCTTATCTCCCAAACTGTTCTTTCAAAAAAAAAAAAAAAAAAAAAGGGGTCCCTGGGGGCAGCTTGCTAAGAGGTGCAGAATGGAGCCTGAACACGTTGCTTTGGATTCTCTTAGCTTCCACCTTGCTCTTGAGCACCCCTGTTTCACCTTTTACTCACTATATGGAGAACTGCTACCATTTCTGGCTACAATTTCACACCTGTCAATCCAACATGGCAAAACAGGAGACCGTGGTAGGGCTCAACGGCAGCCCGAGTCTTTAAGTTCCCCAACCGTTTGTTTTTTATTTTAAATGTCAGAGTTACAATTCTCTTGAATTTTTAGTCACACATCTTCTCCTTCCCCGCCCCCAACATCTACAGAACATCCGTGGCAAAATGAAACATAAACCGATCCTGACAAATTATGATTTTCCTCTGCTAGGTACTTCCCCCGCCCCCTTAACTAAGGGATAGAGGACAAGAGATAATCTTCCCGATTCATACGGGAAGAAGGAAAATTTCCTTTGACGACTCAGATTTAAACATGTCTGTACATGTTTGGTTTTGTTTGGAGATCAGTATTTAATTTAGAAATGCCTTGAGAGCTGAGCTTTCTAATATCTTTTAGGCTAATAAAGTAAGGATCTTATATGGCTTAAGAAAGGCGCCGTCACCGTATCTCTTTTCAGTTCATCTGGTGCATGAAAATCTATTCCATTTGCATTAAAAGCTAAAAAATGTCTGGGCTGCAAGAGCCTGCAAGGTATAGGAGGACATCAGCTGCCTGAAGCTTTACATCAAGTGCAATTTGGGGAAGACAAAAAAGCATCCAGATGAGCCTTTCCTTTTATGGAGGGAAGGAGGCTTAGGTTCTAACTTGGCAGAGCAGATTCATTTAGAAAAAAGAAGGCTCCCTCGGTTTAAATTCCAATTTCTAATTCTCCCTTGGGAGATGAAGGCTCTTCTTGTGTGCCTTTCACAATCAAACAGTTGGTTATAGCCTCTCCCCTCCATGGCTTTGAAATCCTCTCCTATTCACATGGTCACAAGGAGACAGCCCTGGGGCAGGGATGGCAGTCGCTTCCTGGGATCTGCTGTTGGCTGTGTTCCACTGGGCCGAAGGGCTTCCAGCATTAGGCAGGGCCGCCCTTGGATTCACAAACGCCCGCCACTTGGCGGAACAACAGCCCCACGCAATCTCCCTGTCCCCAGATACCCTCTTGCTACATTAATTGCATCATTGATGCATTTAAAAAAAAAATTAAGTGGACTGTTAATTCTATGGCAACCATTTACAAGAGAAAATATTCAAGACTAGCCTTTGTAAACTATAACTGATGACACTGCTTGAATTTTACTTTCCAGTTGTGGTTTCCCTGAGTGATAGGATGCCTACCTAGTGCGTTTGTAAAGAGTTACCCTCTATATTTTTAGTGCATCATGGGCTAGAAAATAACTCAACAAAGACTGCTTTGGCCAAAAGGAATCTTAAAGGAACAGACGAGTTCAACTCTAATAGAATCAGCTTTCAATACTTGGTTAGTCCCCCAAACACTGGTAGCTTTTAGCCAAAGAGACACCTAAAACAGTCATGAATTTGACTTCTTGGTGAAAAAAATCACCTCACGCGATTATCTCATTTCCACAGAGTTAATCAACAGCCACGGAATTAATATGCCCTGTCCAGGTAACAGTCAGAGCCCCAAGTTCATAATGCAGAGAGGCAAATGAATTGGACTAGGGTGCATGCACCTGCTCACCTTCCCAACCTGTATGGACTGCCTCGAGGTGCTCCCTAACAAATGACCCCGGCCTACTAGCCCCTGGTGCCTTGGGTTGTGGCTGCAGAGACCTGAGAAACTCCAGCCCTGTGAGCAGATTCCACAGCCTCCTGCTGAAGGGGGGTGGGGGGGAGAGACAACGCTCTGTGTGTGTGTGATCCCTGCCAGGCAGGACAGATGTACAAATGGCCGTGAGAGCCAGGCTGGCTGAGATCACCAGTGTTGAGGAGTCCCAGCTGGGTGGGAGGAGGAGTAGGGGGCACTGACCTGGAAGATGAGCACTTTGAAACGGTTGCGCCTGAGGAGCTGGGCGTGGTTGTTCTCCAGCCGCTTCACCTGCGCGCTCTGCCTGTCCATGCGCTCCTTGACCGCCCTGGTGTGAGCGCTGACCTTGCGGGACTTCTCCAGCAGCTTGCTCACCGTGTTGCTGATGGAGGCCTGGTATTTGGAGAGCTTGGTGAGGTCGTTCTGGATGCCCTTCACGGAGCCCTCGAGGCTGATCTGCCGCTGCTCCATATGGTGCTGGTTCTCCTGCACCGCGTCCAGCATGTTCACCAGCTTGTCCAGGAGCGTGAGCACTGTGACGGCGTTCACCTGCGCGTTGTCCCGGATGGCCTCCTCCGTGCTCCCCAGGTTCAGGCTGGGGCTCGGCGTGGAGGAGGGCACTAGGCTGGGGCTGGCTGGCTTCTCTTGCCACGTGGCCGAGCCCAGGTGCTGAAACTTCTCAGCTTGTGCAAGGTCCTCCCCCATGGCTGGACAGGTGGGAACGTGCTTCTCTGGCAAAAAGGACAGCAGTGGGGGTGCGGAGAGAGGCCCGCTGGTCTGAGCTCAGAGCACTGCTCTCCAGGACTGGCAGAGGTTCAGACAGGCAACAACTGGCTACACTGATCAGGGGAACTGCATTCCCACTGCTCTTAAAGGCCCTACTCCACCCAGTGGGAGGCGAAGTTTACAGAGCTGAGAACCACTCAGGGTTCAGAAGCAGGGGCACACTTCCTAACCTCGTGCTCCTTGGCACGGGGGCACTTTCCTGCAGGTGTCGCTTTTTTCCCTCTCCTCCTCTATCCCTTTATAAAAGAAGTTCAATGCCATGTTTTAATCATGACTTCATCTAGAGGCGGAGAAAAACATGCGAATTTGGCTCAGCTCCACAGCCTCCAATTGGCTAAAGCTAGTAAACTTTTCTCAGGCTGCTATGCTACAGAGGCAACACAGCACGTGTGTGTGTGTGTGTGTGTGTGTGCGCGCGCGCGCGCGTGCGTGTGCATGTGTGTGCGTGTGTGTTTTCCTGGATACAGGTTATTGTAACGGAAAGTATTGTTTGCATTTGCCATAGAAGGACTGATGGGCTGCAGGAGGAATGCTGTCCTCCTGGGAGGGGCTGCCAGGTTTAAAGGGTACTTGCAGCCAAGCTTGTACTGTGAGTTTTTAATTTCCAAAGGAAAGGAAGTAACCCCGATAATGACAAGGAAAAACAGCCCAATGCTTATTACTCTTGCAACTGGGGGTGCGAAAGAAGTTGAAAGAGCCTGAATTTCAGGAATGTGAAAACATGCGCTGCTGTTTTGTACTGGTTATCATGTAATAGAAGGTGAATTTTTGAATGACTTTAAAATATAGAGTTTCTTTTGAGAAGTAAAATTGAAAAAGGAAAAAACAAGACAAAAAAAGTGTAGTCTCCTTAAGAACCTACCATGCTGATTTGGCTTAGCGAATTCTGAATCTGCGCTAAGAGCTTTTCTCAAATATCTATCTCGGCGAGTCATTTATTGACACGTGCCCACAAGTGTAACTGTCGGGCAGGTTGAGTCGGAGTTTCTGAAGTGCTTCTAATGTTTGACATTTCCAAATTCCTGTTCAGTGAAGTGGCACACCTGTTCTGAAACACGGCCCTCCTCAGCTGAGCCCTTGGGACGCAGGGCTTATTTCCTAAAACGACTTTACATGCTTGAATTGGTTTTAAATGTATCCAGCCTTTCAGAGTGCTTTCAGCAGGAAGTTTGTAATAGGCCTGCTATGAACAGTTTTGAGAAGAACAAATGCCATCTCCTATTGGGTCAGGGATAGATAATGGAAAAGCACCGTTCTTCAGTGGCAAAAACCTACATGCAAGCCAATCAATCAGTGGGTCATTTGTTGTCACATTTACTGAATTTGTGAGTCCCCACTATCTGCTTACTTTTAGGTTTGAGGAACTATCCAGGGGATGTTAGTGAAGCATGATCTCAGACTACATCTGCTACTTAGGGAGATGAATTGAACATTTTTACAGAGACCCCTAGTTTCCTCAGATAATTGGTACCCCATATCCGCTTAAAATGAATCTGTTAAAATAGGGACAATGAAAGTGAAAACATTTGGGGGGCGCCTGTATGGCTCAGTCGGTTAAATGTCTGCCTTCGGCTCAGGTCATGATCCCAGAGTCCTGGGATCAGCCCCTCGTCGGGCTCCCTGCTCAGGGGAGAGTCTGCTTCTCTTTCTGCCCCCCAGACCCTGCTCATGCATGTGCTCTCTCTCTCTCAAACAAACAAACAAACAAACAAATAAATAAATAAATAAAATCTTTAAAAAATTGGACAGATTTGGTTGAAACTTGATCTTTAAACCATGTAAGAAAATTATTAAAATTAATTGACCTTACATTTAACAAAATTTAGTTGATCAGTGATGTTAACTTTTAGAAAAAGAATGAATCGAGTGTTGACTTTGAGAACCATAATTTTCTAACCAAATTACATGGTATCATGATACAATGTCCTTTTACATTTGACTTCTGCAGGCAAATCATAAAAAGGGTCATTACTGCAAAAATATTTGAGGGCTTCATCAGTTTTCCAAGAGCCTCTCTTAAATTTTGAGATTCATATCATTCCCTTTTGAAGCACTTATTGTGCCATCATCTGCATAGTTTTTTCTTCTTCGAATGTTAACTATTCCAGCTGCAGATTCTCATTTGTCAGAGGACTTGTCCATGATTCAAGGGTTTCTTTAACATTACCTTCATCAACTTCATGGTTTCTTACGTATTTTGAAAGATTTTCAATTTCACATTTTAATCACTTTGCCCTGATTTTGCATTGATTTGCATTGATTTTACATTGCCTTGTTAGATACTGCATCATCAGTTAGATGAGTGGAGACACTGGAGACATGAAGTTGAGGTGGGAAAAAGAGAGAAGCTGGTTGTTAGACAGGAAGAAAGGTTTGAGCTTATTTATGCTTTAAAAGTAATTTTGAATAACTCCAGTAACAGAACTATTGTCTATTGCTGTGTAACAAACCAGCCTGAAATTCAGTGACTGAAAACAACAACAGTCGAGCTTTATTTACTCATGATTCTGTGATTGGCTCGGCAGGGCTCAGTTAGAATGGATCACTTCCACTAGGCAGGCTCATTCACTTGTAATGGATTCCAGGATGCTCTCAATCACATGTCTGGCTCCTTAGCTAGATTGACTAGACTGCTCGGATTTCTCTCTCCTGTCTTCAGCCTCCAGGGACTCTCTTCTGATCTTTCTAACAAACAAATATTGGATATGGACGTCCAGGTGTGGTGCCAGAATGGGGTACTATGAGAGCTTTAGTCACAACAGGGTATGGTTAGGGATCTGAATCCTCCAACTGACCACCAGCTGCCTGCTGTTACCTCAGCTCTCTAAATCATATAAGCAGAGAGGTTATTCCAGGAAAATCCTACTTTATTACTGGCTAGGGCATTGGTCTCAATCTCTATTTCCCATTTTGGGTCATTAGTAAGGTTTGGTTACTCCTTTAGCATAATTTCTATGCCAGAGGCAGCTCAATGACCTTCTTGGTTGGCCTTTTTCCTTTCAACCTATACAGGAATCCTGAATTCTTGGTCTTACTACTGTGGCAGTCACTAGAGTCCTGGAATGATGATCCTGCAGAAAAGAAAACCCTTCTCCTCAATGGCTAAAGAATCAGAAAAGCTAAGCTGGCCACTCCATATATCTTCTCCTTTGAACCCCATAGTGGTATTTAAAAGCCTTTCAAAGATTGAGTTGCCTCTTGAGCAGGAGGTCATGTGATTCTATTAATCACATGGGAAGAAAGAACATGACTTTTTTTTTTTTTTCAAGGAAAGAAGAGGAGAGAAAGAAAACAAAAGAAAAGGAAGGTGTCTTCCAGGAAGAAGAGGAATCTTATAACCTTTTTATTCTTCTTAATGAAAACTCTTTCTACTCCCAGCACATACTTGTGAGGTCTCCTTTATGTGGATAGCTCCTGGCTAAGAGGCAACTTTCCATTGATCTTTTATGTTGATGAAAGTCTTTTGAGCAGATATACTGACAGTCTTTTGTTCTGGACTACCTTTTCAAGAATGCAGAGTGAATAGCCTTGGAAAGCAAGAAGTAGCAGAGGCTAGGATTATTTGATGTCCAGTATAATAAACGTGATATTTCCATCTTGGGCAAAGGTTGGGCAGATTGTTGGCAGCCTTTGATAAAAGATTGGAGTTCCCTAGACTTGGGGTTCTTCACATGTGACGCAAATCCACGGCATGTGCAGGATCCACCTATACCCACCTCTGTGTCACACCCATGTGATGTGAAGAGGGGAGGGAAGAAGAACTGATGGGAACATGGAATTTATTTGTGGGCTGTGCCATGAGTGATAAAGTTGTTGTCTCTGGACCAGAAGTCATGCATCTTCTGCCATGAAATTGGCAAGTTAACTTTTCTCTTTGTGGGGGTGAATGCCCATTTGACCATTTCTGGATTCTTTCTGCACTGCATCCTGCATGGGTTCAGAGGAAAGCGAGGGTATAGTTTGCAGAAGGCCTGAAGGTCTTGCCTTTTCTTTATCCTTTGCTGAGGCAATGGAGAGGAATTAAGTGTTCACTTTCACTAGAAATATTAATTAATGGCAAAACATATGTGATTACATAACCCTCATATCTCCCAACCAAAGTCCCCATATAACCTATCAGGGATGCCAGTACGAAATACAGCGACATATAAGGAGGTCCTGTATATATGAGTGATGAAGCATAGATAATATGTAACGGTGACATAAAAGGTAGATTCCACTTCACTCCCCTGAGCTGCCATTTAGGGAAGGCCACAGTTTTGGGAAATCCTAGAGGGCCCTGCATTCTCAAGGACCCCCACCCACCGCCTCTCAGACTCCCATTTCCCAGTGTGCCATTTCTGTACGACTCCGTGCCTGCCCAGTTGTGAACCCTAGCCTCTGCTTTTAAGCATCACAGAACTTACTGACACAAAGCATTCACGAGTGTAGTGAATGTTAATGAAGCTTCAGGGTCACAGTCAGGAAGGTTTCCGACAGCTTGCTGGTTCTCCTCTTCCCAGTTTTACGTCTTCCTGTTTTCTCCTTACCTCCACTTTCTGTTTCATGAAAGGAAATTTTACTCAAATACTGGCTCTTGGGTTTTATCCTCTACCTGAAAAAGATATTATTATTATCATAAAAAATAGTTTCCTATTTTCCTAAGAATTCTGGTGCCAGTTAAGATTAACTAAACTTTTTTCCGTCTTGTTTTGTTGTCAAGATCAGGGGCGGGGAGATGACTTAGAACATTGTCTATTCATCATTCATTTACTCAACAAACATGACTGACTCACAAGTAGGTACTAGGAATATAACAGTAAACAAGAGACAAAGTCCCTGTTTGTATGGAGCTTGTGTTCTGAGGGGTGAGAGTGGAGACAGATGATAAATAAAAATACAATGTAATGTCAGACAGTGATAAGTACTGTGAAGAAAAATAAAGCAGAATAAGGGGCCCGAGAGTGACAAGGGCGTTATCTTCCAGTGGTCAAGGCAGTCTTTGCTTAACACGTTGAACATATGTGTTAAGTACATACACTGAATAGATAAAAACTCTTAATGTAACTGTCAGTTTAGCTTCATGGCTTTGAAGATGTGATTTATTTTTTTTTTCAAAAATATGTTCATGTTTTGTGTTGCAAATGCCATATTCAAAATTAATACTTGTTCTGCTGTCCCTTTGTGACTTGCTCATTCACAGAAGACTTGGTG